GAAAATGTATCATAAAGTTATATTTATAAATATTTCTTGTTCGTTGGCAGCGTCCTTGGGTCCAGCTCTCTGCATGGCTCTCATAACCTTCGTCGGATGCCAGCGATACGTTGGCGCCGCTCTCCTCTGCATCGCGGTGGCATGTCACGGTGCAATGTTCAGCGGATTCGTCATCAACCACATGGATATTGCGCCCAAATTTGCAGGAACCCTGATGGCATTTACTAATGTACCCGGAACTGTTTCGGGAATAATTGTTCCAGTGTTCGTCGGCGCTATAACAAACAATAATGTGAGTCAATTGTAAAATTTAATTGTTTAAATTTGAATTTGAACTAAACTTGACCATATTCTATAATTGCAGAATACTGTGGAAGCTTGGAGGATAATTTTCTTTGTAACTGTTGGATTATATTTTATAGAATTTATTGCTTTCACAATATGGGGAAGCGGGGAGGAACAGTCTTGGAATAAAGGAGGGACAAGCGATAACCTTAATAATGTCCAATTAGATGTTACAGATAATGTTAAACCTACACCTAATGGTAATAATACAATGCAGGCATAACGTTGTAGAAAATTAATAGAATTAATCGTTTAGAAAGTACATATTTTCTATTTATATAGTGAATAAAATTTACATATCGACTGTTTTTTAGTTGAGATAAGTAAAATGATTTCGAAAAAATATTGCAGTGACTTTTGCATCTTTTGTAACTATTTTTTATTTATAGTTTTTACTTCAAAATAACTTTTATTTTATTTGTAGTATTTTATAAGTGTTATGATTTTCAAAGATATATCTGTTGTATAAATTTTTGCTGCGCTATTTTGAAGAAATATTATATTTTTTTTACTGCAATACGTGTTTTTGGAAAATATTCAACAGAGCTTACAAGTGATCTGAGATACAACAGTATTATTATTTTGTACTAGAAAACATTGTTAGCTTTAATAAAACAATAAAATAATTGTCACTTAGTTTATTATTTAGATTTTTATGTGAAGAAATACTTAATTAGCTCATTAGATTCGCATGCGTTCAAAAATATCTAAGAAAAACTTAAATTAGAAATGAATAGCCTGACAATATTCGACAATTAATTCAATTTTATAGATAATATTGTTTTTCGTAACGGCAAAAGGAAATTCTTTATAATTTTCATTTAACTCTAATTTAAGTCAGCCCTATCAGATTAAATCTAATAACAAAAAATAATCAAATATGGATGGTAACCATTGGGTCTCGGGTTAGATGGTAACCATCTAAAAATACGAAGAAAGGAGAAGTTTCAGCCCAACAGCTCATAGGACGTAAGGTTCTGATTGCTGTTAAAATATATAAAAAAAATTAACTCTAATTTATTTTGCTATTTGTTTATTTTTTATACAAATATTTTATCCTTTATTAAAATATTTGTACAGATTACCACACAGCTATATCTAGAAACGTTAAGCGGAGTCATATCCGAGAGTTTGTCATATCCGCTTCCATAAACTGTCCTAGATCTGTTAACACGTACAGATTTGTCAACGGTTTTTACCAAAAACAAAGAGAGATTTGCGTCCAAACTAGTGATCGCCTTTTACAGGCAATTTTATAACTTTTTAAGTATTACCCAAAATAATGTATTTTCATAAAATACAAAAATATAACTGCAAAAATACAGAAAAATGAAATTGTGCTCAAACACAATGCGTCTAACAGCTCAATTGAATAACTACTATCGTCTTTATCAGTGAATAATCCCAATCAAGAACATACATGCCAAAAATTACATAAATGCATCTAATCTACTTTTTCCATGGCCTTTGATTTCAATAGTATACCAAACTAATAGAAATACCTAATATGCAATTAATCCTCGAAATTTAGTAAAAGGGAAATGTGAGGTACATATTATTATCTAGTGAAAAATATTTTATTACAAAAGTTTTGTTTTTATTGCATACATAATGTTTACAACATAATTTTCATATAAATATATTCAAAGAATTCAATTTTTTCTCTTCAAATATAATCCTTGGGTTGATCGCCAGGCCCGGTCAACAAATTTTAGAACCCGGCATTTCAGAAAGACTGGTAATTTTTTTTAAATATTTTATCAATATTATTCATAAATTTTCTGCGCGCCTGATTGCTTAGTGGACTGGTCTCTTTTCAAAAAAGAATATATCCTGTAATTGAAAGTAGGGCTCCGTCTTCGACATCAATTCTATCTTAGCCTTCTTGGCGATCGCAATAGTTTTTAAAATATTCTCGAAGTTATCAAGTAATCGAGCAATAAAGTTTTTTGTAAATGTGTATATACTTCTCTATATTTATTTAAGACGAAAAGAAAACACTCCATAGAAAAGACGTGGTCGGAGTCGTTGGAGTCGTTAAGCGTCCTTTGAAGCAGAGTCCGGCTTGAGATCTGATAAATGATAAACCCAACCCAAAAACGGTCGAATCAAACTCAAATATTGTTGTTAAAAATTGTTTTTGAGATATTAGTACTGGACCTTTTCGACCCGAACACTTTTAAGCCCCGCTCTTTCCTAACAATTTTTTTGACTATATATTTATTTTATAAAACAAAATTATAAAATATTTTTCAACCAAAAAACAATAAGATGGAAATTCGAAAGTGACAAATGAGTACAAGTCTTTGAGGCCTTCGACGCGGAAAGTGCGATTCGGGCTCAAAAATATTTACGGGCCGATCTGCCGCACAGCAGATCAATGTTATGGCAAGGCCATGTTACGCTCCAACTTCCATACATTATGCTACTGAATCATACTGAATACTATCAAAATGTCATGTATTTTCTGTGCATTCAGGCGTTTTACACATAAACAGCAATGAGCCAGAATGACCCTGTTACCTAACAATAAGATCGTTTTTTTACATTTGTGCGGCACAGCAACCAAATTTATTATGCAAAGTTCTTCATAAAATAGCCCTACTATAACATTGGTTGTTGCCGATACTGCCGGCTTATTAATATCTTTCGATGTAACAGAGTCTCCAACAAATAGCGGAAAAAGATTTTTTTCAATCGATTTAAGTTGGGGAAAAGGTAGGTAATAACCTTTGTAAGCAATTAAATTTTATTGTTAAAAAAAATTGTAAAAACATTTTTTTAAAAAAGGTTAACTTCAATATGAGTATAATGCGCATATAAATTAGCCATCTCTTTCAATACGATCGACGGTCTAGGTATTCAGCTTAAGAATAAACTTCCACTCAATATCCGAAACTTAGACAGCAAAAAATTTCATGCTTACCTAGTTAAACTTTTTAAAGACTTAGCTTTTTATGACATTACTGAATTTTCTCAATTTGAGTTCAATAACTATTTTCTTGCATAATCCTTATCCTGTATCTATGTAGTCTGACCATTTGATCGCCTGTACAACCATATTTTTTTAATTTTTTTTTATTGCTATTTTATTAATTTAATTTTTTTACGGTTTTAAATGAGTATAACTGTCAACCTTGTGCAAGAATTTTGAGCTTGACTGGTGGTCAAATAGACTTTAATATGATGAACTTGATGATGAACATAGTATTTAATGTTCGAATGCTTTTTTCAGCTTTTTTTTTCAGAAGCGAAATTCGTGCAGCTACTATGATTATTATAAAATTACTATCCTTTTAATATTAACTATGAATAAGCTTGACAAGAGCCTGAAATAATATCTATTATTATTGATTACGGCTTGCTTATGAATAAATAAAATAAATAAATAAATAAAATTAATAATACTGATCTGATCACCGCGACTGGAGATAATTAATTTAACGCAGAGGAAGTTCATCAAAATTGAGTAAATCATCCATATTTCATTCAAAAATATTTAAGTCAATAAATTTTTTTCAGCAAAACCCTGAAATACGTGTCGAATAATTTTATGTATATCTATAAAAAAAAATTAGACAATTCTGAATTGTGATATTTTATTTTCCCCAAAACCCATGCGATTTGCAAAAGAATGACCCATATACAAGGTGTATACGTATTATACGCCTTGTACATACCTGTTTGCGTATATTAATAAACTCTTAAAAATTAGACAAAATACAGCAGGCATTTTAAATTAAGGCAAGCTGTTACATTTCCCAATAAGTGTTCATAATTGACATATTATATAAGCAATAAAGTTATTAGTTTAAATAATTTATAAGTATGATGAGTTGCTGTGCGCCCTTCACTGTTAGAAACTATAAAAGAATGTTAACTTGTACAAATTTGACAAATATACTAGTTAAATTTAACAAAAATGAATAAAATTTAAACATTACTAATTCAAACGACGCAGTCATCAACACTAATTCCTATGAAACAAAGATAATTCCTAAGAGATTCCCACAAATTATAATTAATGTCTCTTTCCATAAAAAAAAATCGTTTTATGATTTTTGAAAGTTTGTTTTATTATCATGTCTAGAAACGATATTTATATACAAAAGACAGCAAATTCCGATTTACCATATGTTTCTCTTTATCATTTATATCAAATTAAAACTATACAAACCATATGATACATGTACATGAAATAAATAAAAATGGTAAAATAAATAATATCATAGTCATGAATCTGATAACACCTATTGCATGATTATGCTATTTATGATTTCCAAAACTCAAAATCAGGCTGCCTGTTTCAATATTCTTTTGTAAGATATTCTAAGGCCAGTTATGACATCGATTATATTTCTCAAATTATATATATTTCATATTATTCATGTTATTCTTAAGTAGGTATCCAATTGTTCCAATGTTCTTCTATAGAAGAATGAGCTTGTGATGTTTCACACTATGCAGATTACATTGCTTTCCATTATTTCTCATAAATCTTATTGTAATATAATTCAAGAATCGCATATTCTCAATATTTAAAAACAATAGTTTGTAAATAAATAATTTTAATATGTAAGTATAATATTAAACTTGATATTAAAATATATATATATTGTGATAAACAACTTTTGCTAAAAATGTACATTAAGGATTTAAATTAATTCTGAAAATAAATAATTTACATGATTTCATAACTTATGTACATATCATTCAATAATGTTATATAGATCTTGGCTAGTAATACTTATGAGCTCTTACTCAAATTGTACACCTTCAAGTTAAACTCTTACTTTCAAATCAAAAATATACAAAAGAATATTCTTCTTTAATATGATCTAATTGCCGGTGGTACTGTAGCACATTCTTTAGAATCCAATGTATTATCTATTACAGGTCTATAAGTAATATTCACATCACCTGTGTCGATATTGACAGTTGTCAATGTATGTTTTCTCCAATGGTCCGTCATTGGTTTACGAGTTTGTCCGTCTAATGGTTTACTATAATCAAATTCATCACATCTGACTTTGTAGTCATCTCTAGCATGGGCACCTCGGCTTTCTTTACGATTTTCAGCGGCTACAATTGTTTGTCTAGCACAGATCATCAAATTTTGTAATTCAAGAGCCTCCACTAAATCTGAATTCCAAATCAGACTTCTATCGAATAACTTCAAGTCTTTCATTTGTTTGTATAGACCAGATGTAAGTTCACAACCTTTTTTCAATGTTTTTTCCTCTCTGAATACAGCGGCATGCGTTTGCATTGTTTTCTGAAGTTGCAATCTTAAGTCGGCTGTAGAAATGCTACCGCTAGCGTTCCTTAATGTATCCAAATTTGCAATAGATTGTTCACCCGCATTCTGTAAAAAAGACCATTATATTTTCAATATAAAAGATATTAGTAATCTTAAATGCCTAATATCTTTACTAAAAATTCAACATTTGTATTTGGCAGAGTCAAAACACACTGAACAGCAGTTTGAAACTTATAATCCCTTAAATATAATAAAATCATATCTGTGCAAATATTTACATAAAAATTTAGAGGCAGACTGCTAATTTAAAAGCACATTTAAAATTACATGTTACATTTAATGTAACATTTTTGTGCATCTGTATTTATATTTTTGAGTTATTTGTTGGGAACAAATGCAAATTGATCAATCTTGCATCTGTTTCAATAACCTTGTTTCTTCTATATATATTCAAGAACATAAATTTGCCTATTTGGCTTTGTCTACTTAAATAAACATGAATATCTATAAATTCACATTTAAAACCTTACAAATAAAACAACTTTTATCACAAATTGCATACAAAGGCTATGCACAAGATATTACATATGCACCTATTCCTTTACTCGGAAGATATGTTCCATAAAAACATGGCAACTCAAAAAATTCACACCTATATGGAAAAAACTTGCTGAATAAAAATATCTATAAAAAAGCCCTTTTGGTCTGTTTTTAATATTATGAATAACAAACATGTTATTTTTCTTATTAAATTTTTTATGTTTCAATAATAAAACAAAACCCTCATATGATCTGCACTAGATGTTTTTTCATCGATATCAGATAGACGGTAAATCTTATCATTACTCTCTAGATTCTTATTTTTATCTTTTCCCATAGTCAAGTCAAACTGTAGAATTCCTTTATAAATTATGAATTTTGTAAAAAAAAAATAGTTCTGTTATTTGTTCATGTTAAATTCCTAAGAATTCATAACTGAAACACATTTTGTAGTGTGTTAATCAAATTATAGTTTGATTATAATTTGGTATAAATGCAAAATTTATAATTTTCTTGAAAATAAAAATCATTTTCAAAAACCATGTAAGATCAAAAACATGTAAAACGGCAGATAGGTGTATATATTTTTTTGGTATCTTCAAATAACAAATACATACCTTGCTCAAAGACCCGAATTTCTCGCCAGGTTTGTTTTCAGCAGCAATTGTTGAAGCACAAGAACGTCCAAAAACAACTAAATCCAGCAGGGAGTTAGCACCCAATCTATTAGCTCCATGCACGGAAGCGCATCCTGCTTCACCAGCAGCATATAAGCCAGGCACAATCTAAAATAATCATTACAGAATAAATTGTAGTAATAGTTGATAAAGAAGAAAATAAATTATTTCAGAATAAATATTTTTCCAATAATTAAATTATGATGTTGAATTTACTTTGTCTTGCCCATCAACATTAATTAAGACTTGTCCTTTGTAATTTGTGGGTACTCCTCCCATATTATAATGCACTGTTGGTAAAACGGGGATTGGCTCACGAGTAACATCAACACCACAAAATATCATAGCTGTCTCGGAAATACCAGGAAGTCTGCTCGCTAATTGTTCAGCTGGTAAGTGATGTAATTGCAATAAAACGTGATCTTTCTCAGGTCCTACACCGCGACCTAAATATGAAAGTTAAATCCATTAATAAAGAATATTGTGTAATGTATGTTATATATACCAATATGTATTGAATGTTTATATAAAGTTCTAATGTTTATTATATATTTTCAGGTAACAAAATATTAATAATTGAAGTATTATAATAATACTAATCACCTTCATTGATTTCAATTGTCATTGATCTAGAAACCACATCTCTACTGGCCAAATCTTTTGCAACAGGTGCATATCGTTCCATAAATCTCTCTCCTTGAGAATTTACCAAAAATCCACCTTCACCTCTGCATCCTTCAGTAATTAAACAGCCAGCTCCATAAATACCTAATGAACAAATATTACTGAGATCATAAAACATCATTGTAAAGAAAGTCAAAATAAAATGCTAGTTAATAACATGTTTCATACAAATACTGCAAGCAAAATCATAAATCTCAATTATATATTATCTTACAACACACTTTTATCACTTTGGCCTATCCAAAAATTACAAAAATAATATAAACTTTGACAACAAAACTAATTTCATTTATATTTTTTGTCTTTTAATTAAAGATCTATAAAAAACAATTATAAATATTAAGTAACTTGATTAACAAAGTGCAATCTTAAAAGCAGGTGTCCTTCACAACAAAAAAGCTAATGAATAAAATATGAGCAAATATGTTATGTCAACAAATGTATGCAAATTCTTGATATCTGCTTTGAATCTTTATTAACTTGTTCAGTATTTAGAATGGTGTTGACTTAGTAACAGCAATAGAAAATTTGAGTGAAATAAAGTGATGTATATTTTTGTAAACATAAATTTTTGAGTGAAATAAAGTATGTATATTTTTGTAAACATTCAATGATATCTGCACTACTAACCTGTAGGATGGAACTGCACAAATTCTAAATCTTGTGCTGGTAATCCAGCTCTGGCTACCATACCGGTGCCATCACCTGTGCAGGTATGTGCTGAAGTGCATGAAAAATATGCTCGTCCATAACCACCAGTCGCCAAAACAGTGTTCTTTGCACGAATTCTGAAGTTAATAAAATATCATAATGCACGATAAAAGTGTTTATATGGTAATAATGTATGTGATTATGAAAAGTAGATCTAATAATAAAAAAACTGGGTAATGAAGTAATGAAGTATTTTCTTACATAGATTTCAATAATGCACAGATAAATCTGGGATATAGCCTGATATTACCAATACAAAAAATTACTTTCTACCAGGTTACAAAATTCAAAATATTTTATAGAAAAAGTACATTTCTTATTTTTGTTTATTCTAAATTTTATCACCAAGAACACTTGCTCACAAAAAAACACAATTATTGTTACTTTCTAGCTTTCACCTGTGTAATGTACCATCTTCTAAGCAGAGAGCAATAACACCTCGACATTCTCCGTCCTCCATTAATAAATCCAATGCAAAATATTCGATAAAATAATTACAGTCGTAGCGAAGTGATTGACCATACAATGTATGCAATAGCGAATGACCAGTCCTAAAATTTGCAAATTGTTTAAGTATTACATGATCTATGAACACAGATTATGTTAACATTGAACATAACAATTAACCCTTCATATAGTACCATTTAATTATATATATATATATATATACAAAACCCCAGTACAACACAGTAGTTACCTCCAAAAAATCCTCCAAAAAATGTAGATTTTTGTTTCTGAACATTTTGGCATACCTTATAAATAATTGATATATGTATGTGTGTGTGTGTGCGCGTATGTATGGATACAACTTTCGTCCACGTTTTCGGGAACACGGATCAACCATATAAAAATGAGATAAGATCCTTTATTTTAACTCCGCTTGATTATGTTTTGTTTATTAAGTTTTCAAGTCAACATAAATAAACATTGTTGTCCAATTTATAAGCTCTATATTTTGTCTATAACATACGAATAATAAAAGTTGCAACATTTATAATAATCTATTTAAAAACATTTGAGAAGTTCTATTATGGTACGGTAAGTTCCAGCAATTTGCCTTAAGGCACGATGCCATGCACCACTAGTTAATTTAATTTTTTTTCTCGTTGTAGTGATAAAAAAGAAATCTTAAGAAGTAATATGAATTAAATAAATAGAATAATATTTTCATTGACATGACAAAGTGCTATTCTCCGCAAGCAATTTCTTTTTGGCCATATATCTTAAAACTCTGCATTTTTCTGTATTTCATTGAATTGCTTGCATGTAATTAGAAGATCTTTTTAAATTTCTTCATATGATGCTTATCACTTATGAAGTTATATGATCTGTTTAGTTCAAATTTTTATTCTGATTTGAAAAATATTCATTTAATAAATATGAACTAGTTTTGGCTAATTGTAAGCCTAGACATTATTTATATTTTATAGGTTAAGCTTTCTACTTTTTCGTTCTTAGCCCTGCTTTATTTAAATAATTTCTTCTTCGAGTAATTCTTTGCGAATATGAAAATAAGACACATAAAGTCCTCAGCAAAAAAATTCATAAATGTTCAAATAAAAAATAACAAATGATGTGACTAGTATTATCAAGTTTATTGAGCTGCTGTTGTACAGTATCTTTTATTCTCTGTGAATGAAGTGCTGTGTTATACTGGGGTTACTTTATGTGGGGACTAGAGTTCGAACAACTCCGACCACTACAACTTTGTTTTTTTTTGTGTATTCTTGTCTTATTAAAACTCCATTGCTTGAAGAAGAAATGGTTAAAAAAATCCCTACGATGATTGCATTTTCCTTCACCATTAAATGGGAAAATGGTTCCATATAGTACTGGTTACAATTTTGGTATATAAAGAGAATATACATTTATACAAAGATTTATTGCTCGATTACATGGTAACTTGGAGAATATTGAAAGAACTTTTCTATCAAAGACAAGGTTCTACTTGCAAATACAGGATTATTTATGAATTATAGAAAAATTTATGAATAAATATCAATAAAATAATATTTTAGAAAACTTTATTAGTCTTTCTGAAACGTTGGGTTATAAAATTTGTCGAATTGGCGATCGCCCCAAGGACTTTTCAAATTTTCGTAGTTTTGAATATGACCCATTACTAACAAATAAATTAAGCATTTGAGCTGTTCACACTTGAACATAAATTCATTGTTCTGTATTTTTCCAGTTACATTTTTGTTTTTTGTGGAAAATACAAAATTGTATTATTTTGAGAGATTTTATACCTAAGAAATCATAAAATTACCAGCGTGACGAGAAAGCGGCCGCTACTTTCGACCCGAATTTTGCTTTTTAGTGTTAAAAACCACAAGGGCTAATATGTTACCAGATCTAGGACCAGTTTAGGAAAGTAAAACATAACAAAATCTCGATTATGACTTCACTCGATATAACTTCGAGAGAAGTGTTATTTTCTCAGACATAACTCACTCTGGAGTTATATATATATATATATATATATATATATATATATACATATATATAAATAAACAACACACACTTTATTTAATAATTACGGACGTTTCGAGACCATGGTATGCCTCATCTTCAGTGTAATTTAAAAATAGTAAAAATTATATATTAATACATTATTTAATATATTATGTTAATTATATTTAATTCTTGAAAAACAAAAAACACCAATTATCTCTTACAATGCTTGACACAGTACTAAACATTTGAATATATACAGAAATATTTGAAAACAAATCTCAAGTGTCTAAGATAAAGGGACAAGGATGGATATTATTATAATGTAAACAAAAACGTTTCATGTATTTTTGTTTACATTATTCCAATGTAAACAAAAAATTATCGTAAAGACTATTCAAAAAACACTATATTCATATTACTTTTTCTTCATATTCTTTTTATATTCCAACATTAAAGAAGAAACTCCTTTAACAAAAAAGAAAGATGTAGTTTCTAAAGTAAATTGTTTGGATTGTAACTGTTCTTATATTAGCCAGACTTGTCAGAACTTAGATAAAAGACTCAGGCAACATGAATTACAATGCAAAAAAATAGATAATAAAAAATTTAAAAGTACGCTTGTGGATGACGCTAATATCAACAACCATAAGTTTGATTTTGATAATTTCCAAATCTTATTCCATGAAAAAGTTCGGACTAACAATAGCGTACATCTGAGAACCGACACAAATATTTTACATGTCTCGTATATAAACATCATTAATAATTTATAATTTTTTTTATTTACTATTTTCATTCATTTATCTAATTCTTTTCGATAAATTAATCTCATTTCACATTTGTTGATCTTAGTATGTGTTCGCACATTCCTTTTGTTTGCATTATAATAATATCCAACCATGTCCATTCATCTTCGACACTTAAAATTTGTTTTCAAATATTTCTGTGTATATTCACATGTTTAGTTCTCTATCAAGCATTGTAAGAGATTGTTCGTGTTTTTTGTTTTTCAAAAATTAAATATAATTTAAATAAAATACTAAATAATGTATTAGTATATAATCGTTAGTGTTTTGAAAATACACTGAAAATGAGGCATACTATGGTCTCGAAACATCTGTAATTATTAAATAAAGTACGTGTAAAGATCTGAGTGTTGTGTTGTTCATATGCAACATTTGATATTCGTTCCACTCTTATCACAAAATTATATATATATATATATATATATATATATATATACATATATATATATATATATATATATATATATATATATATATCTTTAACAATACCTGTCAGCCACTGCGCAACATCTGTGAGCTTGACCACCTTTTCCAAACTTCAAACTTTGACCTCCAAAAGCTCTTTGATATATTTTTCCTTCATTTGTTCTGCTAAAAGGCATTCCATAATTTTCTAATTCAATGACAGCTTTGGGTGCTTCTTTAGTCATATAGTGAATTGCATCTTGATCTCCTAACCAATCTGATCCTTTAACTGTATCATACATGTGCCACTGCCAATTGTCCTCCTCCATGTTTCCTACAGATTTTTCATTAACAAGTTCATTCACTCAACTTAATTTGTGTACAAAATATGATATGGCATAATCTTACCTAAAGCAGCATTAATGCCACCTTGTGCAGCAACTGTGTGTGATCTCGTGGGAAATAATTTTGTTATAACTGCAGTTTTGAAACCTTCAGCGACAAGACCAAAGGCAGCCCGAAGGCCAGCACCTCCAGCTCCAACAACAACTGCATCAAAGTCATGGTCAATGACTTTGTATTCTTTGCTTACAATATCACTGCTTACATGTGCCTTTGATTTTTCACCAACAGCAAAGTGAAGTTTTCGACTTGCAATTACTGGTTTTGACTAAAGCAAAGTTGAGATGGTTATTGATATAGCTCTAAAATTAGTAAATACTAGGTAAGATTTTTTTGTTACATTTGTTCATAGATTTAAAGTAGTAAAACCATTAGAACTTATAGACCTTTTCTTGATTTTGCATTTGTTTTAAGCGAATGAATTGTGAATATTTGCATATATTATGATATATATATATATATATATATATATATATATATATATATATATATATATATATAGATATATATATAATATATATATTTATATCATATATATTTATATATCATATATATTTATATATTTTTATTAATTATGATATATAATTTATTTAAACAAATATAAGTTCAAGGAAAGCATAAAATAATTTCAAATAGAAGTGAAGTAACAGAATTAAAGATTTCTCTTATAGAGAATTGTAACTTATAGAGAGACTATACTTGGAGATTATAAGAAATAATAAATTAAATATTCAAGAAAATCAATTGTCAGGAAATAATGTTCTAGATATGCTTTGATTAAAAGCCGATTATGGGAGCAATATACATGAGCTTGTTAGCCTCATTAATCAAATGTATTAAATATAATATTCATAGAAAAAAGTGAAAACTTTTATAAAGATAATACTCAATCTGCAATATGTTTATTGAAGTAAAAATAAATTCAATAATAGCACCTTGCATATGTGGAACCTAACTAAAGTATTTATATGTAACACATCTAATCTAAAAATGACAAACAAATATACTAAACTCAATTTTGGTTTTTTATGTACTTATTCATTCATAAAAATGTTACTAATTATTGATATAAATAGAAAATATTAAGACAAGATGCACTTGAAGAGTATATAAGTTACAATGGACATTTACAATGGTTATGAGCATTTACTGGTTATATAAAAAATAATTTGCAAATAATAACTGTCAAAGAAATAAAAGAACAAAAAATGACGTTTGTAGTTCATTACAGAATTTTCGTTTTTTTATCAATTTGACACTTGACGTTGTGCAATATTAAAACATAACCTAAAATCCCTTCCGAATATTTTATCACATTGGCAGTGTCACTGACGTTAATTATTGAATTGAACGCCGATTTAAATAAAATATGCCATCAGAAATTAACAAATAACACCGTGCAAGTTTTTTAGTGTCGTTACATAATTAAATATCAGCTGGCAGTGTGCAACACATAAATAAAACTGTATATCAACTAGTAAATCATCTCTCACCCAAGACAATGTATTTTTCGTAAACAACCTAGTTAATCTTATCATTCCGCTCATGATGGAATATTACACCCGCACCAAGAACGGTTAGAAATTATTTAACTTAAACACAGACACAACACCGAACCGATCACCCCACGTTGAATCTTGGAAAAGATTGAGGTTCCTCTCGCCTCTCGCTCGCCTAGTACGATGCCGAGCGGTCGTCTCTTTCTGACGTTCGCGAATCGAATGCAGATGTCAGAGATGGCGCTAACGACGACTTTAATACGACTTCGAATCCTGACGATTTGAGCATTTGAGCATTTGAGCATACACATAACATGTAATCTACGTCAACAATACGTTGTCGTTGTCACCTGATTCCGATTCACCTGCGAACGAAAAGCAAATGACGACGAAAAACGCTCCCGAACTGCGATGTTGCACTTAAAACAATACATTGCTTTGTTGGAATTACCAAACAGGCACGTATTCAGGTGTTAGCGAAATTCATTTTCGTAATCATAATCATAATATTAATGAAGGCGCTGCTAACATCGTTTTTTTTACTTGCCGTAGGGCAAGTTGTAGTAATCGCAAAAAAATCGAGAATATTTTTTTAACTTCCCGTAGGGCAAGTTATAGTAATCGCAAAAAATCGAAAATAAAAATGTTTATATATCTTTACGTTTCAGAGGTTTCTGAACATTTTGGCATATCTTAGAAAAAATGGATGTATGTGTGTGTGTGCATGTATGTATGTGTGTTCGAATACAAATTTTCGTCGACGATTTCGGAAACACGGATCAACCGATTTGAATAATTCAAAAAACATTTGATTCGTATTGATAAGGAGACGTGCTGATTAGTTTTTGGCGAAGGCAGGTCTAGCCGTTCCGAAGATATGGGACAAAAAGTGCCAAAAACGGTAACTCAGTTTTTAAAGGAAAGAAGCGATTTGAATAATTCAAAAAACATTTTACTTGTATTAACAAGATGAAGAACTGATCAAATTTTCATGAACGCAGGTCTAGCGGTTGCGGAGATCTAGTAAAAAAAAGCAGAAAAAATGCCATTTGGCGGTCAAAAATGATCATTAGACATATGCGCATCAAATTATCAGATATTTTATAGACATTTTAACAATAAGTATAAATTTTGTTTACATTCCTATGGGTTCCGTACCAATGTTTATCCGTTAGACGGCGACGCGTCGCTTACGCGCTTCGATATTTTGTCTCTATGCAGTTAAAGCAGTACGATTGCTTTGAAAAGTTCAGAATTTCCAAAATATTTCAAAATAAATTTTTCTTCAAAAAGTCTATTTTATTTCAAAAAAAAGTAAATTTTTGTCAAAATATTATAGTTTCTCAAAAATCTAATTTTTTCAGAGTAATTTTTTTTCAAAAATGTTAATCTTTTTTTAAAAAAATAATTTTTGGTTTGGAAAGTTCCAGCAATTTGCCTTAAGGCACGATGCCATGCGCCCCACTAGTTTTGCATATCTTTACGTTTTAGGGCCCTTCGAACATTTTGGCATACCTTAGAAAAAAATTGACGAATGTGTGTGTGTGTGGTATATATGTAGCTATATTATGTATGTATGTGCGGATACAAATTTTTGTCGACGTTCTCGGAAACTCAGATCAACCGATTTCAATCATTCAAAAAGCATGCGAATTAGTAAATTCAAAAACGTAAAAAAATGCAATTTAGCAGTAAAAATGATTATTAGACGTAATTTATCAGATATTTTATGAAGATTTCAATGATAATTATAGATTTTATTCACATTTCTATGGGTTCCGTACCAAGATTTATAATATTTAACCGTTAGACTCCGACGCGGCGTTTACGCTCTTCGATATTTTGTCTACTACTAATTTTCATTAGTAGTAGATATTTTGTTATACTACTAATTTTCAAAATAGTCAAATTTTTTATTAATATTCAAAAAAATCAATAATCTAATTATTTCAAAGTTTTCAAAAATGTTAAATCTTTTAAAAATTTCAAATTATAGAACCGGAAGTTCCAACAATTTGCTGCTATTTATATATTTTTTTTAATTTTAGTGATTTCCTCAAATATTCAATTAATAGTTAAAACTAGTTGGTATTGATATTTTGCCTTGTGGCCAGTTACATGATCTTCCCGATATGTGTAGATAATCGACTTAATCAATAAAAAATAAATTAATTTATAAGTGATTAAAAGTATTCCGAGTGGATTTATTACACATAATGGAAAACGAACGAACACGTTAACTCGAAGTATTTTCTAAAAGCAAATTTTCAAAAATCTATAATTTTTATAATTGAACCAGTTTCCGTAGGACTTTAATTTTCATTAAGACCATAGGTACTCTATCATTATACCAAGTAAATGGTCTAATTTCAATTTTAATAGACGTCAAAAAAACTACTCATTTTCTCAAACTTTGATGAATTTTCAAAATTAAGCTACTTGTCGTAAGGCCGTAATATTTCAGTATGTTCTATAAGACCATGATATATATCGCCAAACAAAGTTCTATGAAAATTGGCTTATTATTTTTCAACAGTTAATTACAAGATAACGGCTCCGTAGATTTTTAATATCAATCAGTATCAATCCCAACTAATATCCTTCGAACAGTTTTTGTTTTTTTAAAAATCGATTCAGTAGTATGAGCTTAAATGTGGACGAAGGGTTTAACGCTTTTTTAAAAAATAAAAGGAAACGGCTCGGCAGATCGTCGTACAAACGATAGTAAAAATCTGTTCACACACACATACTTTTTCCAAATTTGGTCTCATTCGATTCAGAATGGCTTGAAACGTCGAGAAAACAAAAATAACGAATCGGATTTTTTTAGGAAAACAAACTCCTCCTTCGGGAAGTTAACTAGATTTCCCATTATAATTATTACATCTTTCCAAAATATAGGACTATTCAAGTACTGGTCTTTCTTCACAATAAGTTTATTAAGTGATATCAGATAAAAAGAATTAATTACTATATGAAATCAATTATGGCATAAGAAATACTAGATAAAACTTTCAGGAACTATATACAGTGGCAAACTAATTTGAACTCCGTTAAAATCTGGAAACATTAGCTATTGTACAAAAACTATGAAGAATAACTGCACATATTGTAGTGAAGTAATTCAGTATATTTGAAATTGCTATACACATTATTTTAGTTCAATAAAATAATTATTTCTTTAATCAAATTTCAAAATAAATTGAAGCAAAGCAATTACTTATAGATAATAAAGTTACATAGTTGTAATCACTATTATGTTAGCGATAGCATTTTCAGGGTCAAGTTTTGTAATCAGTTTTTCATGATTACATATCTAATGGGACAATATTAATTTTGAGCATTTTTTCATCTACCATGATCTATGTCAATAGTTTTTGATCAAACACTAGTTAACGTTCTAATTATTATTAATAAAATTATATATATATATATATATATATATATATTTATATATATACAGTAGAACCTCCTTATTCGCGGGGGATGCGTTCAGTAAAAATGGCGCGAATAAAGAATCCGCAAATACAGGATGGCATTTTGTATGGGATTACGGGAATACGTTCCAAGATGACAAATAATCCGCAAATAATGAAAAATCCGCAAATACAGGATGGCATTTTATATGGGATTATAGGGTATACGTTCCAAGGTGTCAAAATAATGAAAAGTACATACATAAAAAACTATATTTTTATTTATATTTATAAATGCATTAGATTAATTACTTTATATATTTGATTAATTATATTATACATTAAACATTTTGATCATTTTTGTTCAGAAATAGGCAAAGATTTGAAAAACTTTGTAATTTTTTGTTGCTTGGTAGTTTTCAAGAGTTTCTCCAATTCAGGCTGATAAACGGCAGTCACATCTGCAATTTGCCTCTTAAAGAGAATACTTCTCTCCATAGATGGATCAATGTTCATAAAAAAATCACACAGATCATTTGCCATCTTTAAACCTTCACTGAGACTCTTTAAATTAAATGTCATGTTTTCAGTGCACGTTGAAGCCTCTTCTTCATTGGGTTGTGAATTTAACATTTCTTCCAAGTCGGTTTCAGACAAATCATTATCACGTGATTCAAGCAATTAGGTCTGTTAGCACGTGTTACTCAATCACAATATTTGCTACGAATGAGAAAAATGAAGAAATAAAGCATGCATAGCAGCATTTACCACAGAAACGAACAATGTTAACCCTTTCGACTCGGATGCCGCTCGGTCCGGCGGCAAAATTCATATAGATCTCGAAATTCGCGAGTGGAAAGTGTTAAAGCATACATATACGATTCATTCATTCCCTGTTTGCTTACTTGATCAAAAACGCTGATAACGGAGAGGACGGCGAACGCAACGCAATTATAGGTCAAAAAGACGGCATTTACAAAGGATATTGGATTTCATATACACTGGAATCCGCGAATAACGAAATTTTTAGCCGCGAAGAAAGAAATCGGGTCGCAATTTTTTTGGCCGCGAATAGCGAAAACGCGAATGAAGGAGTCGCGAATAAGGAGGTTCTACTGTATATTATGGGACATTTTTCATATATATCTCTGATTATTAAAAATACGCGATACACGTTACATATATTATCAGTATCCATAATGGATTATTGTGTAATACTATTTAGAGTGTGTTTTATTATTATCTGCGAATAATTTAAATACACATGTACAACCTTGATGAAAATATATTTAATTATATAAATGTTGGTGTACAAACAATGTAAATTAATAAACCTATATTCGTTAAAATCATAAATTTATAAAATTCTGTAGAATTGTAGATTGTACTATAAAAAGATTAGTTCTATAAAACTAATAATTAATTTTGGAAATGCAATATAATTATACCAGTCATATATAATGTTTTCAAATGTTATTTTTGACCACAGTAAATCACAACTATGATTACATTCGATAATAAAGCTTATCGCATTTGTGCTAGGTATTTAATCTGTGTTTATTAATTTAAAAATTTCTCGTAGTGTATTAAACTTTGATATCGTTATTTGCACAACATGTATACCATATCACAGAATGCAATTTTTATATTCTAGATTTATTCATCAGGATGGTGGAGAATCATATACATTTTTTGAAAACTATTTAGTATTAAATTTTATCTAACTTCGATGGCTTCGATTTTTCCCATGCCACTATTATTAATTGTAATAAAATCGAAAATGAAAATGTTTGTATATTTTCACGATTCAAA